ACCAAAGCTGTTGAAAACACAAGGGGTTTCAAGCCTTTGCTGTTGTGGCTACTGGACTGTGCAACCACCTCCTTTTTACTGTAATATTAGGACTGAGGCTTCAAAGGCAATATTTATTTTTTAGGGTTTTGGACATCCAGACTTACCTTTTTATGTATCAGTGTGTGTCTGTGATACGTGCCCTTACACATTTGATTTTTAACCTTGCCATGAAAGTTGTACAGCACTAGTGCATTTGTCTTTGGTTGTGTGCTTTATAAGTAATGCAACATGACTTTTTAGATAATGTATGCTTAATAAGTAACTAAGCCCCAAAACCTGTGTATGCGGGTATTTAGTATCTAGGTATCTAGTGTTGTTGATCAATTCAGTACAAAGTATTTGAATTTTACATATTTTGCTATAAACATGCACAGTGCACAGAGAAATCACCTCTCTCTGGGTGAAACCCAGCTATTGCAATTGAATTTCACAATCAACGCAGGTACCACAGAGAAACCTTCACAAACAGCCATGAATGTGCTTCTAGTGACTGTCAAAGCTCCATTATCTGTGTTTCCAGTATGGAAACAGAGAGTCTGACAGCATCTGCTCATTGCTGGTTAGCTTGGTTTGCTCTGACTACAGGCAGCTGTACTCCTGGTACTCTGAGAGATAGTCAGTCTGTCACTGGTCAATATAACCTCCTGCATCACCCACTTCATTTCTAAATTTGCTGGGAAGGAGGTAGCTAGCAGAATTTAGGGGTTTAGTTACACTTTAAAGATTGGGACAATTCTCCAGAGATGGTGAAGCTTCAAAATCTGCTGTCCCTGCTATAACAATCTAACACACTGCAACCAAGTTAAAAAAATGAATTTCATGACTCTGATTTACTCTAGATCTAAATAATTCTAGTATCATACACACTATTATTGTTCTTGTTTTGGCAGTTTGCTTTATTGACAGTGACTGTAGGGAAAGACAGGAAAGCCAAGGGAGAGAGAGAGGGGATGACATGTAGCAAATGGCCTCGGGCTGGACTCGAATCCGGGCTGCTGCGGTAAGGTTTTGACATGTGGTACGAGTTCTACTAGGTGAGCTACTGGGGTGAACCCATACACCTGATATTCTACATCTATGTGCACAGAAAGTTCTACATTTCATGTTTCTGGCAGCAGTATTACAAGTTTATTTGAAAAGAAAAAAGCTCCACCTCCAGGAATTCAAAACTCATTCACAGGAAATCTCACAAAAATAAAACAACAGAAATTGTGATGCTGTTTGATTGAGAGGTGATCTCTGGGAAGACACCAGGGTAATTGCCACTTTCCACTGTGCGTTACATTTGTCTGTCTTCCCTCCTTTTACTCATCTCCTTTCTCTTTGACATTGAGCAGCACAGACCTAATATTTTGCAGTCATGATGCATTTCAGCCCCTAAGTTGTCAAAGTCGAGCAGAATGAAATGAAAACTTTCTCTACCTTGCCTCCACATGTAAAAGACAACTGAATGACACAAACGTCACTGACTGCTATCATTGCTATCAGAGTTTATGTAAAACACAAACACAAATGTGTCCACCAAGCTCCATTCATCGTCGCTCTAGTTTGCCAAAAGACTTCCTTCTAGCACAAACCTGCTTTAAACCATCCGGATGGAAATTGAAAATCAACATGACTTAAAATCCATCCCACCCCCAAAAATAGCTGCCTGTAATACTTTCCTCTAACATTGATTTACAACCAGGTGAAACATATTCCAGTCAGAGCTCGGTAATCTCTGATGGAAAGGAAATATTGATGTCCACATGAGTGACTAGATACAGTGAAAATGTCTCGCCTTTTTGCCAAGCAATATGAAAAATGTATAAAGAGGAAGCCGATCCAAGAATTCTTGAATATATTCTCTGTTTCATTAAGCCTTGGGTGGGTGGTGTCCTGGGTGGAGAGATATAAACCTTCAGTCACTTCTTTTCTAATTTTAACCTCAGAAACTGACTCTGTTGGAAGGGGCAGTTCATCTGCTATAAATCATGCATTGGGCTATGGGGAAAATAACTAGTATGGGATAAGAC